TATTTGTATAAATGTATAAATGTATACTAAAACGTTTCTGCAATCGAGTGTATATGTAATGTTTAATAAACGAGCAGGAGTGTTTTATCGGGTATAAAACACGAGGCGCAGCCGAGTGGTTTTAGACCCGATAAACCACGATCTGCGAGATTATTGAACGGCTTAGAAAACTTATGATGTTTGTTCTCATTGTGTACCGATTTTTTTACGAAATGAACCAAGTTTGATAGAGAAAATCCAAGTTAAAGTTTATGCAAATGAAGACGAATCTTTATCAGATATAAAATCACCTTCATGGTCATTATTTCTATTGTGTTTTCTTCATGAATTATTAATGAGTTTTCTAAATATATATATATATATATTAATATTAAACTGTAATTGGGAGAGGTTAGTCGGCCCCTAGCTAGCAAACCCTAATTCTCGACTTTCACATACCCTAATGCCTTGCGTTTTTGGGGGGTAACCAATCAAAAAACTGTCCCAAATTGAAAGGTTTCTTAATTGAATTTATACYMTACCTGCTTTTWTCTGTACAATACTGATTATCAGTTTATTCCAAGTTATTTTTGCGTGTACAGATAATCAAGAGGTCTTACAGAAAATGTATTGACTTACGAAAAAAATGTTTAAAATTTACCTTAAACGTCTTCAAGCTTCTATCTTTTTCTGTTTTTTACTTCTTCATTTTATCTTTGGATACCAAACAAGGTATTGTCAACATTATCTGATCTGCCTTCAGTAAAATAAGTGGGTTTTTACCCTCTGGTTACCCCCCAAAGACACAAAGTATTATGTGGATGTGAAAGTCGAGAATATTATATTTCCTTATGTCGATAAAGACTGAGCACCCATTGTCACTACTTTCTATGTGGGACAGGTTTTAAAAACAACAGCCGCGACACGCATGCGTACCTGTATATTGACAGGCAAACTAGTTGACTCAATTGACTTCTTATTCTTTTATCCTTCAAAACACTTTGACAGGACTTATTTTTTAACATCCATTGAAAAAATAAAGTAATTAAGAAAGCTTCAAAAAAATATGCCACCCGTATTGAACTTTGACCTTGACCTATTCTCCCAACCTCATACGCAGATCCCACGTTTCTTTCAATCTCGTACCCAGAGCCCATGCAAGTTCCTCTTGGGGACCGGAAGCTAACTCAAAATCGATCAATACGGATCAATATCTAAATTTTCAATGTTGATTAGAAGGACCGGTCCGGGTAAATCGCAGGCTCGCCTAGCTTTCAATATTTGTAAAAAGAGAGAAATGTTGGTGAACAATTTTTTATTGGCAATGTGTCCAGATTACAACGTGCACTGAATTTTGGTTATCCTACAGTCGAACCTCACTTTATGGCTTTATGGACATCAAATTCAGTTTCTGTCTCAGTGGATTGGATATACCCCTATGTTAACCCTCTTTATACGGACGCCCTGATATTACTGGCTTATCGCTACAGGGTCCGTATTATAGAGGTTCGACTGTATTTACTAAGCAACGTGCAAATTGTACGACAAACCATAGTTAGATACGTGTACTTGTTATCATCGTCATCATGATCATCATATAATAATATAGAAGTGTCCGTATTGTAGACGTGTCCGTACTAGTTGGGGGTTTGAAGATACTACAAAGGTGTCGTACCGAAAGATTCTGTTTTTTAAGACACTATATATGAAGTAGACAAGCAATCTTTTTTTATGAATTCTTACGTATTGAACAAAATTTCAATTGAATTTAAAAACATAATGAATTCTTCGTCATACTTGTGCTTGTGTAAGTTCCCAGTGGTTGGTCCGTCGGTCGGTGAATTGTTCGTTTCCTCAATACAAAAGCCGATGTTAGAGTTACACTATTGCCTTCAAACAATTCTTGCATTTGGGTCAGTTTCTTCATTTCATCGTATTGACCGAAATGCCTCGACTTGAAACGATAACAGTCAGCTCTCTTTACAGCGGACACCCTCGGGACCGTCACGTGGTGTCCGCAATAGCGAGCGTCCGCAATAACGAGAATTAATTACGATCATTTCTTTGTCATTATTTTTTCCGGGGATTTTGCCCTTGTCCGTAATAGCGAGGTGTCCGTAATATCAGGGTGTGCGCAAGGCGAGAGTTGACTGTATTAGAAGGCAATAGAGTGAATATCTCTAATATCTGCTATTATGGCTCATTGAACTGGACAGCCATACACCTCAGCTCTCAAGGCTGGATAACCGGAGTATCCCAACACAGTGATACGAATATAGCGAGCTTTGAATGGTACCTCGATGGTATGAGTAACGACAGTGTTCCTGTCAGTGTTGCCAGGAAATACCTGTGCAAACAAATGTCGGGCTTAATAACAGTGCAGACTAAAATAATTAGCAGAGAAATACATTCAAAAACTACCATTTGTCTTTTGGGGAAATTGCGAATTTATCTCAAATATATACACGTGTTATGTATCAAGTGAGAGCTTGGGTCTAATCTTATCATGACGTCATTGAGAGGAAAAGTGAACGAGATGAATGTTTACCTTAATACATTGTGAACTCTCGTAGTCTGTCCATATTGTATTGTCTGTACTGTATTTCAGACTATACTTAGTGGTAAAAAAGGTATGACTAGCGCATCCTTGAGTAGCTAACCTTGGTAATCTTCATCACTGTACTGAGATCAATAGTCAGGTAATCACCATTTTTACTTGCGGCTGGCCCCCAACAATAGTGGGGTAATCCTGCACCTCTTTTAAGTCGAGCATTTTTTGGAGGAAAATATTGCTGAGATGTGGAGGCAGTTATTTGTGAATCAAGGATTCTGCCGTCTTCCATTCCAAGTGGACTTTCACAACCTTGAAAATAAAATAAAAAACACATMAAAAAACTGGATAAAGGAATGAATAAACAAACGAACAATAGAAGGAAGGAAAAAGGGAAATAATTAACAATTAAATTGAAGTGAATAACTGGGAATATTTAACGAGACGCGAGTTGCAACACGGTGCAACATTGTATATACATATACATTGTATAGCCCATGGTTTTGATCGATTTTGGCCCATTTTCACACC